TCCTCTCAACTGGAGTTTAACTTTATCCCTCACTGAAGATAAAAATAACATGAACAACTGTCCTACAAAGTATTTTATTGTTGAAGACACACCGCCTCACAGTCTAAGTCTAATATTTGATTCCCATTTAAAAAACTAAATGTATTATAATAAACTATTGTCACGTTTTGTTATTATATAATAATAATAATAATAATAATAAAATGAATGATAATATAATTAATTTGAATGCAAGGACCATTGTTCCTGCCTGGTGTCTCAAACTGTCCATTGTACCCAGTGTTATTTTCATAGCTGCTCACTAATTTAAAAATACTTTCATTTTTTGTGTGTTTCTAAGTCCCTTAAATCACACATTGTTAACCCTCATGGCCTAACCTTTCATCTTCTCCCTTTGTCCTTACATCTAAAGTATGAACCCATTAAGTATCTTATTAATAACCTGTGTGAAGAGCTTTAAGATAAAACAAATAACTTGCATATTGTGATCTACCAAATTGATCAGATTAATGTTAAATTGATTTCTGAAACCTTATCATACCTGCACAAACCTCTACTGCACGTAGGGAAACAATTTGGTGTGTGTGTGTGTGTGTGTGTGTGTGTGTGTGTGTGTGTGTGTGTGTGTGTGTGTGTGTGTGTGTGTGTGTGTGTGTGTGTCATTTATATCCTTTTGTTGACTCCTAGTCTAAATTACACACTGCATGCAACAGCTGCTGCATGCCTGAGCGATCAGACACAGAGCAGGAATCCGCGTGGCAGTTTCTTCCTCAGTTATAATTACTTTTTAACAGATTTTCTAAGTTTAAAATAATAATTTTGAACATCCTTCAGAAATCTTTCTTTGTGTAAGATCTTTTTGGGGTTAAACAAGAAACATGCTCCTCTTGTTTAAGAAAGCAGCGGAAATGTTTCTTGGTGTGTCATAATGTAAACAATGACTGCAACAATTCAAATAGACAGAAGTGTGTGTATCTGTGTGCTTAAGGGCATGCATGTATGAGCCAGTCAATGTATGCGTATATCAAGAGAGAACAAATGGCAAAAAAAAAATCAAATTATTTCATATTAACAGTTACTATGTGATTAACAAGCTCCTGGGATTTCTGGATTACTTTGCCATCTAAATGTGTCTATTATGAAAGCATTGATCAGTCACTTAAGGATATACCTACATGTATTTAATCGACTGGCAGTAGGCTGATTAAATGTATTAGTCTCATAGATCTTCGTTTGTTGTCTTTGGCGGCACCTATGGCCATAGGTGTTAATTGCAGGTGCGATTTTCTATCTAATTTCCCAGACATTCAAATAGTGAAGCTGCTTTTTCCCCCGGGACTGTAGCACACACAGTTCAGTAATGCTGCAAATGCCAGGACTTTCATCACTGGACTATTTCCTCAATCTCTATTGTATTACCTCATACTTTTATGAATAGTGACTTAAAATGTATTATTTAATTACAATTGTAGAGATTTACTGTACTTTGACAAGTGCTTTGGTCACCATAAAGCAATCATATAAAACCTTTTAATCCAAATATGTACATAACTTGTCGGTTTTTAAAATGAAACATTGCAAGTTGCAAATATCTTCCAAGAGCACAGTTAAGCATCCTAGGCAAAGTAATTATTCATATGCAAACACATAATGTGAGTGCAGCCTCACACATCTTCAATCAACGCTCAAAGCTTTCCAAAAAGAGGTTATCTCCCTTCAGGGGATTCATTATACAAAACAGCAGTCCTATGATAACATACATGCACAAACAAATATGGGATAATCTTACCGGCATTTATGCTACTATGGATCACAGAGCAGTTGTGCAGACTGAGGTTGAGAACAGGAGAACAATCCACTATGAAAGTGCTGACTAAGAAGAAGTTAAATCCAGTTAAAAATCCTCCTGTGAAGAAGGAAGTGGAGCTGTAGTCCTCATCATTCATTCAAGCACAAAGTCCGTCACACATTCCAGCTCTTTGTCCCTGCGATTCAGCCTCTCCTCCTCCGCCTCTCGTTCTGTGGAGCGCTTAACATCAAGTCCCCACTCCACTGCTCCCCCCCCTCCTCGTCCGCTGAAAGGCTTACAGCAGTCCTTATCACATGCACACGCTCTTCCTTCTAGAGCTTCAAGGTAAATCCACAGCAGCTCCTTTCTCAATCTTTAATCCCACATTCGTCCTCTGACGTGCCTCCCCCCTCTTTATCTTGTTTCATTTTTCATATCTGACATGTTAGACTCTTATTGTATTCAATGAACTGTTCACTTTGTCCCCAAGCTCATTTTGGCGTATATTTATTTCATTTGCTGTACACCTTTATTCTTTGTACGTTTCACATGGTCGACCTGATGACAATGCACTCTTGGATGTTGTTGCCTTGGATTCTCGGATAGCTTGTATACTAAAACTCTCCAATAATGAGAATTGAACTGTTTTGGACGGGGTAAAATACATCCATCCTTTCTTTGATATTCATCCAGCTTTGCCCCCGATGGCTTTGGTCCTTGTGAGCAGCTTTAACCATGTCTGGCACACGGGTCACATCCCATACTCTTTCTTCCCCTGGGAGAGCAGACACTGCAGCACTAAGTAAGACCCCTGCCCTCAGGTATGGTTTGAAACAATGTATTTGATCCTCAAGGGATTTCAACTCGGCCAAATAAAACATATGTTGTATAGTAAGGGTCATGATGTACAGTATGTCTGATATTGCTTTAAAGCAGGATATAACCAGGCTGCTTTTCAACTACATACAGGGTGCCTGTAGCCTGAGAGACTGACTTAATGCTACAGCATGTAACAAAGGAACATCTTCATAGCCTGCTGTCAAAACTAACGGGTAAAGATCTGTTAAAAAATGCATGCTAAAAATGAAGCAACATGAGGCAGCATTTATCCTGGTGAAGTCTCTCTGAGGTGACGGTCGCTGTTTCATATTTCATGTGGACAGGAACTTATTTTCCTCTTTGAAATACCTTCTTCAAGGATTAACTTTTTAGATTAAAGCCAACATCTTATTGGAATCTTATTTGAATGCAGCACCCTGGTTGGGGACTAAGATGCTCACCATCAATGATGAGTCTGGCTAATTTTAAATGAGACCTGGTGGTAATGCTAGAGGAGAATTCTGACGCAGACATCTAAGCAGCATCCTCCTGGGTCTGAAATGTGAATACAGTCAGGAAATGTATTAAACATGTATTCTTTCAAAGGGCCAGCACTGGTTCAATAGAAGTTCTGAGAAAATGACTCTACTTCTGACTGATTTCTTCTCAGTAAACATTTTCTTCAATGCAACATGATATTTATTTAATAAATTATAGGCCCAATTACAGTCAAATTGAAAAATAAGCAGCGCATTCAACTTGTAGGTTCTTCCGTTTTGGCTTTTGTCCATGTTTTCATCTTAGGACTTTTTGCATTGTGTTTTCAGTTCATAAAAAGTTCATTTCTGTCTCCTAAAAACGTCCTTGCAGCCTTCAACTGCCATGTTGCTTCTGGTTACAAAAATTAAACTTGAGGCTTAAAAAGATAGTCCACAAACCAAAAACCGACAGAAACCTTGACTACATCCACTTGTTATGAGTCACAATAATTCATCCTCTCCAAGTAAAAGGCTGTCTAAGTTTTCATAACAATCCATCTTGTAGTTTTCCAACAAATTGACCAAGAAAAAGATGAATTAAAAAATATATATATTAAAAGATGTATGCAAAACGTTCATACTATATCATACATATAATCTCAGTGGTCTCTATTTACAGAAAAACATTATTATTTTTGGCTCTGTATTCCAGCGCAGTGGATTTAAAATGAAACTGCGATTATGAGACCGAAGGGCTGTGTTTCAGAGGAGAGAAGCGCTTTCTAAATGAACTGCTCTCTGTCTGATCTAGTAAAGAGTGCACTTGCCTCAGGTTAGTGAATACTGATTTAGTAACACTGCTACCATGAAATGTCTTCATTTAAAATCAGATTTTCAAGATTTTCATATTCAATTATATGCTAAAACTGATTAAATTAAACTTACTTTCAAGTCCAACACATGAACCTTAAGTCTATCTTCAAACCTCTGATCTCAACTACAAATCTGACACGCTTGCAAAAGCTATCACTGTGACCAAAAAATATCAAAATAAAATGAAGGGAAAAAAATGGTTTAATGTTTATTGTGCCTTATTCCGAATACCCTGACGTGTGCATATAGGTATCTGATGGGAACACTTGTCTTTGATGACTGTTGATGGTAAACGTTGTATAATGATTCAAAGCATTGTAATTGCGAAATGAATCAAGGCAGCAAATTATAAAATGAAATCTTATTTGTTTAAACTGATTATAAACTACTATAACCTCTCTATGACCTCTTGTAAATACCCACATGTGTAATGCTGGACTTTCCTCCCTGCAGCACGTATCTGACTCACTGCTGTCACAGTTCACTTTTACTGCCAGGAATTTCATGGAACATTGTGGTTTTGTTCCCTGCAGTAAAAAACATGAGCAATACGATTGCTCTTTTATTCACAACTGAATTTTTTTTCAAAATCAGTCAGCCTTGTTTACTTTCATTAAACCTTGATGCAAAATGTACAAGCCTTTAGTACACAGCTTGTTTTGTGAAATGTTGAAACACTGACTTATAAAATTGTTTTACTTGGCAAAACCTCTAATCCTATTAAAACCTACAAAGGATTCACATAACTAGAAAGATAAAACATTGCTTACATGACAATAACTCAACTTGTATAATTAAACATGAACACACTTCTGAAAACGGTCACAAGAGAAACTCTATTTTAATTCAAGAAACCTGTGTTGAAAGTGCAATAGATTAAAATCAATGATAGCTGCTATTTTCCCTGAATCCAAACTATGGAGTCTCCCAGCTGATGGAAAATTAGATTATGCAATCATTTATTTCAGATTCCAGCAATCAGCGTTTTCCTGCCAAGCTGAATTTCCCTGGCACCATGCTTTGCCTCTCAGCAGATATAAATACTCCCCGCTCCAAATGCAAAGACATTGAAAGAGATTATAACTGTAACTGCTGAAGCTGAATATTATCAACAAAATGTGGTAAGTTCAAATGTTATAATTATTTTTCAATTTCTCTTTGCCTTTATTTTTGTAGCTGTGGTGGAGAGGAGGACAATTATATATCTGCCACTACGTTTTTTGCACTACTAAAAACTGTTAATATTTACTTAATTATGTGACCGTCTATGTTTCCTGTAGGTATTTAATTGCTCTTTTTACTGCACTGTTAGTGTACAGTTTTATTATTATGTTGCTGTGTTTATTGTATTTTTGTAACTCTAGCACAACAATTTCCTTCGGGATAAATAAAGTCTTATCTATCGTAACTTATCTTAACAAACTGTTGTCCATGCAGCAAAATGGTTACAATATGTAAGAAAACTATTAATATGGAAATTCTGATCTAAATGTTTTCAAGAAGCTATCTAACTTGGTTAAGTTTTACAATAATTAGATACAAATTCTAACTCTGATTTGTTTAGATTTGTGTCATTCATAATCCTTTTATGGGCAATGAGACATTTAACTTCGTTTGGATCTGTTGTTGTTTGAAGGTTTTCTCAGACAGTGCTCCTCCTGGCCGCATGCGCCTGTCTGGCAGACGAGGTTCTAACCGAAGAAATGAACCAACCTTTGTCAGGTAACACAAACATGCTATACACTGATGAACATGGTGATCTAATTCAAAATGGATTTCTGTTTACATTTACCATAGAGTATTTGTTGGTAGGGTTTACTGTATTTGACCAACAAGAAAGAAACGTATACAGGCATGCTCGAGGCTAAGGCTGAAGCACAGTACTTTTGGTCAAATGATATGTTTCCAGTTAAATAGTTTCCTATGGTCATTACCTATTTTCACATAAGCTACTCAGATTCATCCTCTGGGGTCCCTGGATATCTCTACCATATTTGATAGAAATTCATCCTTTGATTGTTGAAAGACTTAGTGGTGGAAGGTAACTAAGAACATTGACTTGTATTTTTACTATTTGATGGTACTTTATACTTCTACTTCAGTACATGTCAGAGGCAAATATTGTTCTTTTCAAACCATAAATATGTGTGCTAATGTTAAATACTTTGCAGATTTACATTATTAATTCAAAATATATATAAAACATTATTCTTGAGAATGGCCATTCTCAATAATAAATCATTTTTCTTGCGTCACTTTAGTAAATATATATATATATATATATATATTGATGCCAATACTAATGTACGTTCATCTAAATAGCATTTTGAATGCACAACTATTTGTAATCGAACATTTCTATACTATGGTATTATTACTTTTACTTAAGTGCATCATCTTAGTACTTACTCCATCAGTGCCAACAGTGCAGTACAGTGAATAAACTGGTTATTGTGGCATCTACAAAAACTCATATAAGATAATTAAATTGGGAACATGCATGTATTTACAATCAGAATATCTAACCTCACATGTTTCCTTAATGACTAATTCAGAGATCCAAACAGCAGCCTTTAAGTGGCTCCAGGCTCCAGTTCTCTGAAGCTGCTGTTTGACACTTCTAGCTCCCTGACAGCTGCTGTTCAGATAGATATCTGCGGATTGAAATGACCTGAGGATCTGAGGACTGAAGCTATTATTGCTCATTTCAGATTGTGTCCTTCATGTAGCTGTAAAGATACTATATCTGACATGGAAATCATCTGCTTCTCCTCAAACAGCCCTTCAAAAACTAAGGCTAAGCGGTCAGAGAGCAGAGAGAGATGTGAAAATAATTTGTTAATTAAAAAAAAGGGAACTTATTTACATAAAAAATATTAGATTATTGAGAGAAAGAATACCTGAACTAGTAAATCCATTTCATATTAAAGCAGTGTCTTGATTAGGTAGTTGTTAATTTAATTGCACTTGTAAGCCATTGCTAACTTTGTTAAATACATTGGTTAAACCCTGTGAGGATATTACATTTACAACAGGGTTAATGATCATGGACTGAGTTCAAAGCATTTGCGAACACTTTAAAGAAAAGATCCCCAGAACCGGTTCCCTTGATGATCTCAGCCGCACAAGAGACTCGAGGATCAAAGCAGAACAAGTGGATTATCCTCTATCTTTCTTTTTCTTTACGATGAATAAATTGTTCCTGGAGGAAACCTTCAGAGCATAAAAGCATCAGATGCAGATGAAAACGCTTTTAACAGCAGTCCCGGAAGTCATGACCGTGTGCTAAATACAGACATCTTTGAGAAGAAACTCTTTTGTCATTTTGACATACCAATCATCACAGACAGACTGATTAAAACAGTCATAAAATGGTGTTTCAAAAAGCCAGCAAATACAGTTTTGAAGATTTTAGGATTGTCAATGTGTGCATTGTGAAGTAGGTACCATACACATTGTCTTTGTAAAATGTAATGTAAGCTCTTAATTATATTAGACTTCATCAAAGAAAACAGACTTTAACCTGGAGACGCTTGTCTGCAACTTGAAGTCAGCGGCATACAAAATGGTGATGTGGTGGAAAAAATAAATAAAAAATAAACCAGTTCAACAATTGACGCTATGTGTTTAATTAGACAAATAATAAGCTTTGCAAAGAGGTTCAATCACACAAGGCAATTCTGCAGTGACTCATATTGAGCAAAAAGTTGCTACATACTTTACAGGAAAGAAATGTGGCCCTTGTGACTCCTTCTGAGAACAGGCTAGAGATCATCTAGCCTCAGGTGGAAATACAAAAACGACAAGGTGATGAGCAGAACTACTTTCAGCCAGGTAGAACAAAGAAACCGTGAATTGAAGGCCAGTTTTTATGCAAGAAGGTAATAGAGAAAAACACTACATGGATCATACAAGATTATCTCAAGGTCAGATAACAGTGTGTTGCCACTTTTCAGCTGGTTGATTGAAGGTTAATTAGTCTGTACTTTGTTTTGAATCAAGTCCTGTGTCATTACATTTCCATTGTTCCGGTGAATTTGTAATTTGCAAAATACACATCCTGTAACAGTTCTTCGGATTTAGCAGCCAGGTTGCACAGTTAATAACGGCATATACAGTGGGGCAAAAAAGTATTTAGTCAGCCACCAATTGTGCAAGTTCTCTCACTTAAAAAGATGAGAGAGGCCTGTAATTTTCATCCTAGGTATAACTCAACTATGAGAGACAAAATGATCACATTGTCTGATTTTTAAAGAATTTATTTGCAAATGATGGTGGAAAATAAGTATTGCACATAGTTGGTTGGTATTTAACAGCAAGGGGTGTTATAGTCTGTGTTGTTGTGTGTGTGTGTGTGTGTGTGTGTGTGTGTGTGTGTGTGTGGGGGGGGGGGTCTATAGGGGGTGTGCTGGTTGTACAGTCTGAACGCTGCAGGAACAACAACAACAGTCTGAATTTCTCCAGAAAGATAAGATTTGAACCAGCTGTAAACATGATAATACATAACAGCATGTGGTCATCGCATCAAATGGCTTGTGTTGAAATAACCCATCGGAATTTGGATTGTTCTAAGAGAACAAGATTCGTGAATATAAAACAAATAGAGAATACAGACAATTATACATGACAAAAACAAGTATATACAATTTAGATTACATAAATTAATATATACTGTATTTATTTCCCCAGCCTCCAGGTTAGCATCCCCCCGCTCCAGGCGGATGGTCGGGGGCACCCTGGCTCCTCATGTCCCATGGCAGGTCATGGTGTACATTGCTGACAAGGTGGTGGACGGAGGTTCTGCAGGCGGGGCGCTCATCTCCGATCGCTGGATTCTGACTGCTGGCAGGAACCTGTTCGTCAGGAAGAGTCGACAGCACACTCAGGGGAAAGATCCTGTCATTCCTAAAGTGTACCTGGGAATCCATGGACGGCCCCAAGCTGTTGCCTCCAAAGAAGTTGCTGTCGAAAAGGTGAGTGAGATAAATATTTGAACTGAAATACGTAACTTTACCTCTCTGATCAGGCTCAAGACCCCAGAGGCCGCTATTCAGTTGCATGTTGTGGGTCAATGGCGTGTAGATTTCAATAGACCGCTATACTGTAGTGCTGCATTAAAGGAAATATGTGAGTTTATGCACAGACATCTATTTTTGTTGACTTTCAATAATTTAGTATATTGCATGAAAACCATATTTTCAAGGCCATGCCATTCAAGCAAATCAAAAGAAAATGCATCACATTTTTTTTCTTTGAGCCTTGAAAACATATATTGAAGCAGGTATGAGACTTAGTGCAAGGAGTAATTCTCAACCAAAGAAACATTTAATCCTTTAAGGATACATTTACTGATTTTAAGTATCGATGCCTGTATTAAGACAAAAAACAAGAATACATGTTTCCTTTTATGCTGTGCATCCTGTATGTACAGGCAATTTAACTGTTGGCTGTATGTACAAATCGTGGTGTGTTTAAGTCTTCTGTCCCATAGACCACGATTGAAAAAAACCTTTAAAATCAAATAATGAGCAACAGATAGGCTGTGATATTTCTGAAAATAAGGAAAATCTAATTTTCTTAGGATTTGTTGACCATTATCATATCACCAGACTTGTCTTGAAACATAAAATAATAAAAAGTGGCAGAGTTGAAAAAATGAATCTATTTATTCAGGGGTTTTTGTTTTTTATTATTTCATGCAAGATTAAGAATGAAATGTTGACGTTTCTTCTACTTCATTTCACTTGAATGAAAAGAATATTCAGATTGTGTCTTAGCTGTTTTCTTAATTCTCCCTCCGGCAGGTTGTTCTTCACCCAGGCTTCCAGAACGGCTCTGACTGGGAGAACGACCTGGCTCTGATCCAGCTGAAGGAGCCTGTGCTGATGAGCGATAAAGTGACCCCCATCCCTCTGCCAGAGAGGGGCCATGACCTGGCAGACACCCTGGGAGGGACAGGGGTCATCACCGGGTGGGGCTGGGGGATACATTTCACCCTCGCCACATCACTCAAACACCTAGTAGTCCCCCTAGCCAATCACACTGAATGTAAGGCAGAATATGATCTCACTGAGCTAACACCAGCTGTAGACGACCACATGTTCTGCACCGGATCCACCCGGTATGAGGAGAATGTTTGTTTTGGTGATGCAGGAGGTGCTCTGGCGGTAAAAGATGCTGCAACTGGAGACATCTACGCTGCAGGGATCCTCTCCTTTGACAAGTCCTGTCAAACATACAAGTACGGAGTCTATATGAAGATTTCCTCGTATTTGCCCTGGATCCACAGTGTCATCAGAGGAGATAGCGAGAAATCGTCTGCTCTGCGCTCTGATGCCATGTCTAAGATGTACTCATTGCAGCAGTAGAGCTTCAGGTTCTGAGCTGTGGATTTTGCAGAGGAATTATTGTAATATATGACTCAGTACATTTGAATAAATTCTCGCAATATTACTACTTCTGTGTTCTGTCACGTAAATGTTTCATAATACACAAATAGTGTAACATAATCACTGAGCCAGCTCCCTTGTTTTCACTGCCACTTCTGTCACTTTCCGTGCTGTTTTTTTTTTTCTTCTTTATTTATTTGGGGTCATTATAGTACAAGTACAGTTTTTCAAATCATATATTTTTAGAGACCCGAAAGTGACAAATGAAATAGCAAACAAAATTAATCAAAGTAAAATAAAAACGAAAAAGTACACAGGGGTTGTTTGAAATAGCAAATGTCTACACATGTACATGCATACATATCAACATACATATATACATTCAATACACATACATGTGACCATACATACATATCTATACATATACATTCAGTCGGTGTATAGAAACAGTCAAACAAGGGATGGTCGTCTTTGGGATATGTAAATTCTCCACTTTTTCCATATTTCTTCAAATGTGTTTTCCTGAAGCCTCATTGAGAAGGTGATTCTTTCCATAACATAGATTTCATGGATTTTGTCGTACCAGTTGTCAAGAGAAGGGATATCCGCTTTGAGACATTTTCTAGTTATTGCTTTTTTTGCTGCAACAGTAAGAATTCCAAATAATTGTTTTGTTTTGGAGTTTGTGGGGATTGAATGTACGAGCCCAAATAGAAATTCGTCCCAGTTTAAAGGGATTTTTTCCTGTAGTATTATTTCAATTTCGATATGAATCTTTTCCCAAAAAGTTACTATTAAAGGACAAGCCCAAAACAAATGGTAGTGATGTGCTAGCTGAGAACCACATTTCCTCCAGCAGCTGGGGGGCCCTAGATGATGTGATGACTGAGCAGGGCTGAAAAAGTACCTGCTCAGCATCTTCCAACTAAACATTCTGTAGGTGCCTGAGCTCGAGATCTTCCATTGAAAAGTACAGTAATTTGTCCAGACTTCGTCAGGGATGGTTTTTTTGGTTTCGTTTTCCCATTTGTGTTTTATATAGAAAGTATTTTCCTTTTTAATATCTTGAAGAGCTTGGTAAAGTTTTGAGATTACTTTCATCCCTGTGTCTGATATGTATGCACTGGTGAAAACTATTAATAAAGGGTTTTCAAGGGCCTTCTGGCTGTCTGATAGGGAACTATTTAAGTAATGGCGTACCTGTAGAAATCTAAAAAAATCACTGTTATTCAATCCATTTCGTTTTTTTAGTGTTTGAAAATCAAACATGGTTCCTTTGCTGAGAAATGTGCAATATGAAGTAAGGCCATGTTTGGCCCAATCTTTAAATGTTTTATCCAGCTTGCTCGGGGTGAAATCAAGATCATGTGAGCACCATCTTAATATCTTCATTTCCTCCAGCAAGTCACTCCTGGTAAGGACCCTTAACCATAATTTTAAAGAGAGGTTTATCCAGCGGTTATCTTTTTCTAGTAAGTTTTTAACATGTCTTTTATCCCCTAACCTTGCCTCGATGGGTACTCCTCCTGATACATTATTCTCAATTTCTTTCCATCTAGCTCTGTAGTCTGGCTTGCACCAGCAGAACAAGCTTCTTAATTGGGCTGATATATAGTAGTCCTTCAAGCAGGGGAGCGCTACTCCTCCCTTGTTCTTTGCTAGTTGAAGAGTACAGAATCTAATCCTTGGTTTCTTCCCTTGCCAAATGTACCTTGATATGGTTTTATCCCATTCGTTAAACTGCTTGTCTGTGATTTCAATTGGTAGATTCTGGAAAAGGTATAAGAGTCTAGGTAGGATGTTCATTTTCACTGATTCTATTCGAGATTCAAAGCTCAACACTGGGATCAAGTTCCATCTATTTATGTCTTCTTTTATTTTCTGACTTAGAGGGTTGAAATGTAGTGTATACAATTCCTCTGAATCTTTAGAGATGCTTACTCCCAGATATTTTAAGTGGTTCAGATCCCAATTAAGATCAATGAGTGAGTTTATATGTTGGCTTGGCTTGTAATTAAAGCTCAGTATTTGGGTTTTTGTTATATTGAGTTTGTACCCTGAGACAGAACTATAAGTATCCAAAAAAGTCAGTAAACTCAAGAATGATTCATCTGGGTTTGACAGGTATATTAATATATCATCAGCAAATAATGATAATTTATGTTCCTGACCATATACTTCTACACCGGTAATATTGTTATTTTGAGTAACCCCCAAACTCAGAGCTTCGATATAAATTGCGAATAACAGGCTAAGGACATCCCTGTCGTGTCCCTCTCTCAAGGTAGAAAGAATTTTATATGGCTTCGTTTATTTTTATTCTTGCATAAGGGTTGTCGTACAGTGCTTGAACAGTATTAATAAAGATCTTGTGAAAGCCAAACTTTTCAAGAACTTGGTATAGGAATTTCCAATTAACTCGATCGAAGGCTTTTTCTGCATCGAGGCTCAAAAGTACTGCCTGGAGTTTGTTTTTGGATATATGTTCAACTATATGTAGAGTTCTGCGGATATTATCTTGAGTTTGCCGTTGTTTGATAAATCCTGTCTGATCTAGATTTATTATCTGAGGGAGGATTTCTTCGAGTCTTTTTGCCAAAATGTGGTAAAGATCTTATAGTCCTGGTTTAGCACACTTATTGGACGATAGCTTCCACAGTCACATTTGTCTTTCCCTTCCTTCGGTATCAGGGAAATTACTGCTTCCCCCCATGAGGGGGGGGCTATGCCTGTCTGAAGCACGTGGTTAAAAGCATCCCTCATTGTTGGGATCAGTAGATCCTTCATTTCCCTGTACCATTCAGAAGGGAAACCATCTGGGCCTGCGGCTTTATTGGGTTTTAAGTCAGCGATTGCCTTTTCTACTTCTTTTCCCGTAATTTCTATAATTAATTTATGATTTTGCTCATCCCTCACTTTAGGGAAAGTTATCAAATCAAGGAAACTCCTGATGTTGGTTTTATCTATTTTAGGCTGTGAGTATAGGTTTTTATAGAAACAGACAAAAGTTTGATGTATGTCTTCTAAATTGCTATGTATAATACTTGTTTCAGGGTCTTTTATTTTATAAATTGTGTTTTCTACCTGTTGTTTTTTTAGTTTATAAGCCAATAGTTTTGCTGATTTACCTCCTACCTCATAATAACTTTGTTTTAGAAAGATCTTCTTTTTTTTTATGTTGTTTGAGAGGATTTCATGGAGTTCATTCTTTTTTTAATCTATTTCCATTTTAGTTTTTGTATTTAAAGTTTTCTATATTTTCTAGATGTTTTAGTTCTGTTTGAAGCTGATTTGTTTTCTCTTTTCTTTGCTTATTTATGTTTGAGGAATATCCAATTATTTTTCCTCTTAGGACAGCTTTGCATGCATCCCACAGGATTATTGGGGACACTTCTCCATTATCATTGTCGTTCAGATAATCTTTTATATCGGTCCTGATTTGAGGCCTAATTTGGTTAAGAATTCCTGTGTTCAGTCTCCAGATTGTGCTTTTCCTTTCTAGTCCTAGATTTAATGCCATGGAGACCGGAGCATGGTCCGATAAGTCCATGGTCCCTATACTGCAATTTTGAACCCTATAAAAATCTTTCTGATACATAAACAGATAATCAAGCCTTGAATATACTGAGTGTGGGTGTGAGTAAAAGGTAAAATCTTTCGTAGACGGATTTAGGTCTCGCCATACATCCGAGAGTCCTAGGTCTCCCAAGATCAATTTAATGTTCATGCTGATTTTTTTTCCTCCTGAGGAAAGGGGTTTTGATGTATCTAAAGTTGGGTTAAGTCTAACATTGAAATCTCCCCCACAAATTAGAATTCCTTGGGCCTCCAATGTTATTATTTCAAAAATGTGTTTGTAAAATGACCATTCAGATCCCGGGGGGGCATATACATTCAGGAGGGTAACTAAAGTACCCTCCAAATTTCCCCGAATAAGTACATATCTCCCATCTTGGTCCTTTTTTTCATATGTGCATTCGAAATTTAATTTACCGGAGATTAAGATTGTTACGCCCCTCCTGGATCCCTTTCTGTAAGAGGATGAATATGGACTGAAGTTCCACTTTTTAAGTTTTTGGTGTTCCTGTTCTGTTAGATGAGTCTCCTGCAGGAGGGCTATTTCTGCTCCAACTCTTTTTAATTTTGACATTACTTTATTCCTTTTAATTGGATTTCCCAGACCGTTCACATTGTATGTAATTACTTTAATTGACCCTTTACTTTGCATGGTGATTATTTGCCTTCATTTTAACTCCATGAGTTCCTACATTTAAATCATTTCTCGCATCCCCTGTTGTATATATAACATTAATAAAATCCCAAACTATAACCAAAAAAAGTATAACAAAGTAATATCCACAAACATAAGTGACATTGACTTCCAGGTTTAAGGCCACATATTGGGCCTTGGAGCTGTTTTTCTTTTAACAATTTCTGCATCTCATCTTTCTTTATTAAGGCTTGTGTGTGGTTGTTTGAAGAAGTTTGCAAAGTCACACTGACACTGTTTTGTAAGAGCCTAGAGCACAAAAGGGAACATTTTGGATGAGGGGGGTGGATTGATCAACAACATTGCACAAAGAATGGAGAACTGGATACAAAGGTCCACTACTGTGCCCACATGTGACATTTCAATGTGAAGGGCTTCAAAGGAAACATTTATATATGTGAATGTTTCACTATGAGAGCATGAGAGAGGATTTCAAGTGTTGCACATGCAATAGATGTTTTTTTTGTTTTTTTCTCACCAGAAGCACAAGAACTTGAAAGATATTTTTGTATGGCACATGCGTCCACTCTCCCGCAGATCAAAATCTGCGCTTACAACTAATTATTTTTCTTTGCCAGAAAAATAAGGTGATGACAGTTGGCTGTGCGGCCAATACAGTATGAAAGAGAAAGATGAAAGGGAAGAAAAATCTAAGTGCAAGACCGGGGTGAATTCCTCCGGGTATTTATGAGGATTACCAAGCTTAGGTTGATTGAAGTGAGGAGGCTGATATTCTTTATTAATGTTAATTATTGCTATGGAATCTGTTTCTTGTAGCTATGATATTACAACAGACA